TAGATAGATTGAAGCGATAGATTCTCAAATAATTAAGCTAAATAAATATTTAGGTACCAGTACCGCTCCTAAAGATGTTTCACATCCTAAGGAAGATACTATATATCGTGGGAAAAGTTTTATATTCACCCCATTAAATATTGATTAAAATTGAATTTTTAAGCGTTTAGAATTTAAATTTACCCATAAAAAATGGGTTTGCCCACCCATACATACTTGCGAACACTGCCCCACCCTAGAAAGAAAATAATGAAACTGTGCTACTGCGTAGTATGTGTCACGAAGAACAATATTTAAAGATTAATTTGCAAGCACAATCCCAGAATGTCTTAATATCGATTCCAAATAATGTTATGCGGCATAACTTATGCCGTGCGAAAACTTTGTGCGACACTTTTGAGAATTATTTGTTTTGCAGAAGAAATTGCAATACATAGTTTAGCTTCCCAATGTTTTTGAATGTCAGTTTTAAAGTAGCTTAATATACATATGTACTGTTGACCTTAGGGGGACTAAAGCGCCAATATTTTGTAAATTGAAGTAGACGTTGACGGGAAAAATAGAGATTAAAAGGAAAACGCTACAGTAAATTTGCGTTGTCATGTTATCGAAACTTGAGTAAGATCTGGAGCAAACGATAACAAATTATACAGAAGGGTCAGGCATCTAACATATTTATAACGATTTTGGCTTTGAAGAACGCCGGAATGGAATGCCGTTGCGGGTAACAATTTTAAACAAACGAGCATTTTGTCCTAAGCTAATGTTGTGCAAAAAACCAACTCTCTACTTTCAAAATTGCCTCCCTCACATCCCCAGAAATTTGGACACTTATTTCAATTCTTTCCTCTCTTCACATTGCCGAATTGTCTCTAGCAATCTAAATTGACACCTGTTTACCTATAAGTCGTATGTATGCTGGATTTTTGTGATAAACATGTTGTTATTGAAATCATAATCAACTTAATGGCAAGATTTTAGCTCACTGCTTATTGGTATTTATCCTTTGCATAGAAAGAGAGCTTCGTGGCACGGAAAAACAACAATACACGTTGTTTTAATTAACTAATACATACATATTATGCCCCAGTCTAAGTGGAAAGAGTGCCAAGAGCTAGTCATCGCGTAATATTCAAGTACATATACACAACGCCATAAAAGTTGATTAATTTATATATGTACATGTATTTCGGTCTTTTTTTATGGGTCAAAGATCACTGCGCACAGGTAACTGCGCTGGGGTCATCTGCAACCCCCCTGGGGGGGACAGCCCCCAGCATCGCAAAACTCCATGCAAAATAGTTTGCATGCAAAAATGCATGCATAAAATTTGCATGCAAAAATGCATGCATAAAATTTGCATGCTAAAAGTTGCATGCATTTGCTATAAAACCTATAAATAGAAAATGAGCGAGGGTTGCTTTAATGTCCTTACTGGTGGGTACCCTGGACACGAGCAGCAGTCGGGGACCTTCCCTTCTGAGTTTTATTCCTGTTTGGTTTTACTACGGTTTTATTAGGGTTTACTCGGGTTTTACCAGGTTTTATCTAGAAGCCAACCAGATAAATTGATAGAATGAATTTTGCAGGTACTATTTTAACACGAATTAAGTCCTCTAATTAATAGTCCTTAGATTTCTACATGTATTTATTTCGGAATTTCCCTCCTGATCTCAAAATCACAATTTACAGCTTACGCAGCGGCAGCGGTTTCATTTTACTAGCCTTATGAGGGGTGTTCCTCTTACATATTTAGCCGTTATGTTACAAGGAAAAATATGAAAAATAGAAAAAGTTGACAAAATTAACGTTGTAAGTTATATATATTATTTCTCCCTAAACATTGAGTAAAACCCAGTAAACCATTGAGGGTTTTCTTGACCCTGATCACTTTCCACGCGAAAACTTCGTATTTAACAATTAGACCCTATTTACATATACGGCATAAAACTTACATTCATAAAAGGGTAAGATTATAATGCTCGGACCACTGTACTGTGCGCACGATTTTTTGTTAACTTACTTTTATCGGTGTGGGGAAAAACCTCCCTTCGATACACAAAATTTCGCACAGGCTGACCATTTTCTGACTTCCGTCAGGACTCCAACCTTCCTCATAGAATGGGAGACCAATGAATTTGCTTTTCTCTTCCCAAGTAAGAAATGGTTTTCCGATGGTGTACTAAAAAATGGGAGAGGTATTTACATATGTACCTTATCTCAAAATGCAACGCAAACGATGTTTAACCCAGATTATTTGTTGACCATATTAGTTTGACATCCCAAATCTTTAAAATAAACTGTTGTAACGTTAGAAGTAGCTTGTCCTGTAATACTGACAGAATAATTGGAGACAAAAATTTTTTGCACCAATAGTGCAGAATATGCGGACAAAGTAGATGCATAATTTTGCTGTAATTTTGCACCAATTTGTGGAAATAAGCGAGGAATATAGGTCCATCAATTTGGCATAATTTCGACTCGGTCCGGTGTATTATTTCATCCGGTTATTACACGCTTTTGGTGCGTATTGCATCATTTCTCCCTATTATTTTCCACCATTTTGCGTTTGTTCGATACGGATGGTGCCACTTGAAAAATGGACATGTCCTTGCTTAATCTCTTTAGGACTACTAATTTTTAGATAAAACTTCCCTTCGGTACGATTTGGAATTCATAATTATACTGATAGCAACCAATTAAAATTTTCCACCAGTTTCCAATATTCGAGTTTTTGACGAAAAACACGAAAAATCCACTTTTTAACATTGGTCGGTATAGGGAAAATTCTAAAATTTTGGGTGAAAAATGTCGAAAAAAATCCACTCTTCACCATCGAGTTTTCCACAAAATACCGACGAAATTTTCTTTTTTTGAAAAAACTATGGTGTCAAGGAAATTTTTGCAGTACACACATTTGTGTATTTCGTCCTCAACGGAAAAATAAATACTACACAAATGTGTATACTTCGTCGTTAAGAGGTTAATGAGCATAAATTGATGGTCGCTAACACCTTGACAGAGTCGGGCAGACGGACAAGAGGACTTCAATGGCTCTCATAGTACGCAAGGCGAGCTAATAATTTGGGTTTAACATGGCTTGCACCAACTCAATTTTGAGATTAAGTTCTGACTCTGATTACTAAGTACCTTTTGTCCTTCAATGTTGGGCAGAATTGTGTTCCTGTGTGCCACACTTTGTTGTCCATTTCACGAAGTAACATGCTTTTGAATATCCTGGAAGGCAACACCGAAATTGTTACTGTTGGGTGACGCCTGGGATCGTACTCAACAAGTAATTCAGCATCATGGTAATGCATTTTGAATAAATTTATTTAATAACTTGTGACACTGTAAATAGCAATATAATATTTTTAATACGTCGACCAAATGTTTAAGGTTGGGAGAGCAACTGAACTTATCGAAATTTTTATAGTGCTCATTCAGGTCTGGCACCGTCACTTTGTGTAATGATTTTCCTCCTGTTATCACTCTAAACTGTGTGATTACTGCATTAGTCTTGCCGTGAAAGTGATAAATTTATTACTGATACGTTGAATTTAGTTAGATAAGCATACATACGTGATTTATTTTGAACGGAGTTCGCCCAACGTATGCCGTCAGATTTTGATTAAACCTCTTTTCACTTAAATACGTGATATGACGTATTTCAAAAAATGTCTCTAAGAGACCAAATACGTCATATCACGTATCAAAAACAATCCGTTGCATACCAAATTTGTCATATGAAGTACCATGACGACTGTCGCTTGCGGACCGAATACGTCATATCACGTATTTTTTTTTAAATGCAGCTTTCTCAAAATTTCTCAAAATCCGAGTGTTTCTTTGGTATTTTGTGGAAAACTCGATGGTAAAAAGTTGACTTTTTTGGATATTTTTCTGCACAAATTCTTGAATTTTCCCTATACCGACCAATGTTAAAAAGTGGAGTTTTCGTGATTTTCGCCAGGGAACTCAAAACTTGGAAACTGGTTGAAATAAATACTGGGTTTTTACAGAAAATCATGGAAATTTAATTGGTTGCTACCAAATGTAGTTATGAATTCAATATCGTACTAAACGGAAATTTTGATGCAGATAAATAAAGTTGAAAGAGGTTAAGGTGGTGTAAATCGATTACAAATTAAATTAGACTTAAATTTGGGAAAGACACTCCCTCCAAATGCTCAGTTTTGGCGTTGCAGTGGCGACGGAAATCGAGGGTACATTTGGGTATACTTGAGGAAGGGTTTAACAAAATGGGAAACATGATGTTTCTGACCCATCGATTCCGCGGCCAATGTTTGCCAGCAATTTTTTTGCACCTAAAGGGGCAGGAGTAAATGTGCTCTAAGTTTGCCAAATTTCGCACCTTCCAAATTTACTACTTTGTTTCTACCCCGGGTGCAAATGTCTCCGCGAAATCTGTTTGCAAATTTCATACTACATCTATGTATTATCATCCTTATTCGCACGAATTTAGATAGTTCACTGCTTATTGGTATTTATCGTTTGCATAAATAGACAGAGCTTCGTGGCAGGGAAAACAACATTGTTTTGCTTAACTAATACACTCAAAACAAAAATTTGTCAAATCAACACCGCCGGTGTCAATGTATGACTTAACCTCCTTGGTTACAATGTTGAATCCGAGTTATGATGATTTTGATACCGGTAGTTATAATGTTATGACCGGACGGAAAAAATTCATTACTACTCGGAATCACAATTGTAACCAAGGCGGTTAAGTCATATATTGACACCGTTTTGTTTTGAGTGTACGTATTTACATATTACGTCCCAGTCTACGTGGAAAGAGTTAGTCATCACGTAATACATACATACATATTCCCAACGCCATAACGTTATCTCGAGATAAACTGGCTTACTGGATACATAATTATTCCATGCTATGCATAAATTGTGCAGCGACGTTCTCTGCAAATACAGATATTTGATCGCACACATTGTAATTTATGGCCCAGTTCTGCCGTGCATGTTGCGAAGGTAAAATCCAAATCGCTTCGTGTTCTACAGAGTTTGATCAACAATTAAATACGCCAAAATAGTTACAATTATGGACAATATAAAAAGATTTGTAAATACCAGCGAAGACTTACAACTACTGCTCTCCAACCATTCCGTCTCTGGACCTGGAAGATTAGAAATCCTATTAAAACGAGGTTTATACGACAAAATTACTATCCATCAAAGCAACCTTACGTTAACGGGAGAGAATAAAAGTGACACAATCGTGTCCGGAATTGTGATAAAGAGAAACGTTTCTAAAATTCAACTAGAAAATTTGTCCGTCGCGCTGGACGCCACTGTAACCGTGGACGAAGGTTTGTGGGCAAGATATGTTGGTTGGAAATTTCCGAGTGAGCAAAAATATCAAGAAAGGGCTGCTAGGGGAATCGAACCCTGAACCTTTCGGCTACCGGGCGAACGCCTTAGCCACTGAGCTAACAGCCACTCTTCATATTTGTGCCACTCTTTCCAACCACCATATCTCATTTATACTCTCCCACAGGTTGTGGCATAATTTTGGAAAATATTTACTTCTTTGGCGTTTCACCACCTTCCCCAAAACGGAATATAAACATTCCAATTCTTCAAATTACTGGGGATGACAACGTCATAAAAAACATCACGTTTGGACACGTTGAGAAACTGGCCGTTTCAACGTGGGGAAATCGAAACGTTTTCCAAGATATCTTCTTTGAGGGGGCGGGAACAGCTGTGAGAAATTCAGGGAATTGGGCCATGTTGAAAAATCTTGTTTGCGAAAACTTCACGCGGGCGGGAATCATGACTTCGGGGCATTTTGTGACGATTCAAAATTGTGTCATGACATGTAAAGACGTTCCGAAAATAATGTTGAAAGAAGAGCAGGAGGATCCAGTTAAGAAGGTGGATATGAATCCCACCGGATTTTATTGCGATGGATATAGTAACGAAGTCGACGTGGTGGACTGCAATTTTGACGGAGTTGATTTACGACGTCAGAGCAGAGTCAGCTTAAAGAATGTGGCATGTGGGGAAATACTTTTGTTGAAAAGTGGTGGACACACCGTTACAAATTGCCAGGGTAAGATCCTCTATGATCTTGTTGAGCAAACGGAGTTTCGGAACTGTAGATTTCAAGAAATTTTTAAGGTAAGTTGATCATTGAATAATTGCCATCGTACATATAACCTAACTAATGATTATGTAACAGGGAACATCAAATACTGTGGAGGACAGGGTAGCTACAGCAAAAGCGGATGACAGATTTAAGTTGCCAAGTTCTACATTTGAAGATATGACAACAAAGAATTCAGAGCCTCGGGAAATTACGAAGAAGGTAAATACATATGTAGAATTCCGATTAAATCTTTATACCGAGTAATGAAAAGTATGCATGGGATTTCCAGACATGACTTTTGATTGAGGAGAACAAAGTTAGAGACTAAGAATTACATTCCGTCCTTTGGTCAAGGAATGCCCTTGCCCTAGCTATCAAAAATCGTATCCGATCGCAAAACCACTGTTACCAGCTCCCCAGAAAGACATTTTCCCATATTATGCCTGTTTTACACCCTGTATGATTTTTACGTATTTTTTACGTATTGTGGCAGACCGGCACGTAACAATAACGGGAATATGTAACGTGTAAAACACAAGTATTACTCTTGGGTTTGAGGGTCAGTTATATGCTTGTTTTATGCTCGTGTTGTATTCGATGAATACAGACGTTATATTACTGTATTATTTCTGAAATTACGATCATTTTACACATTAATTGTTTTCAAATCTGTACATATTTATTATCTCTTCAATAATCAAAAAAAATTACTCTATACAAGTTAAGTTAACAAAACTCCATTACGGCTAGGATTAATGTAATTATTTAACATCGGGATACAATAGTAACAACTAGAATCTAATCTATACGGTAACAAAACGCATTTCATAAACAACAAATTACTATTAAGTACAAAATCATTAGATAAATTTAACGACAATTTATAGATACATAATTTGCTACTCTTAATCGGATACATACCCACAGTGTTTCGAGTAAGAATTTTTTGACAAATGAAGTTAGGTTTACCTATGTCATCAATTGTTATTGATTTAACGAGAACTATATTCATTTCCCCATCCAGAAAGCAATTATCACCAAACTTTGTACCAATGCTAAATTTTTCTAAACAATATCGCCGGATTACTTTATTTTTACCTTGTACATAATTTTTGCATCTGGCGGACTTTGACTGCAAATAATCAGAATTACGGGCTTCTTCCACTCGTTTAACTATTTGCTCCAACTGAAGTTTTTTCCCTCTGACTTGTTTTTTTAAAAACTGCAAATGATTTTCGAATGGGAATGCGCTAACGTTATCCAAACTACCGAAAAGTTTTGCGTCATCTGAAATATGTAACAGGCTATGTACATTATAGACAATTTGTGTTGCTCCGTATATATTTTTCATGTCACTAACGAATTTTTCTAATAAACTTTTTGCTAAATTATTCCACTCATCCACATGAGCGTTGTTAGATAATAAAATATATACAGCTGAATGAAGCTTTAGAAAGTGGATATAGGCTTCGTCAGAAAGAATGCCACGAAAGGCCATTGGAGCTGTGTATAATAAAAGTTGTCTGAACTCTGTAGCTTTGAACCTGTTAATATCTTTTAATGAGCGCGGCTTCCTGTTAAATTCGTAAGGAACATGTTTGGAAATACGACATAAATAGTCCGAGATTTCGAAAACTTTCTTAGATTGCATACGATTTTTTATGGGCCCAGAAATCCAAATATTTAAGAGTTTACGCATAATTCCTAAATAAAAACAATGCATTGAGTCTATAACGACTTGACTAACCAATCCAACATTAAGTATCGCCAATGGTGAGTCGTACACATGATGATCAATGTCAAGTTTCGCCCTAAATGATTCATCAGATCGAAGCGTACTAGACTTAACAGAATAAATAATTCGCCCATTGTATTCACCTTCGTCAATACAGCGCTCACAAGAATGATAACCATTATGCCCTTTGCACCCCTTAATAAAACTACGCGCAGGCGCATCTGCAATAATTGCACTTATTCGAAATCTATATTTAACAGAATCAACAGTGAGCCCATTTAATTCTAAATCTCTAACCTCCTCAATAAATGGTTTTAAAAATTCTTTAACACAACATGGCTTACTCTCGCCGCAAAATAAACCGGCCAGTACTGGGGACATATTTTTGACTTGGTCAATTGTAAATAAAATTGGCCACATTTGCGTATTGCTACTCTTACACACTGGGAATCCGTCCGTGCTTACAGTTATTGACAATAAATCATTTGAATCATTTAAATTTACAAATGTTTTTAAAATGGGATATTTACATTCATTTCTAAAACTAGAACAACTAACCCTAAGAATTTGATCTTTAATACCAAAATAACTAAATTTCCCCCGTTTAATGGAAGTCACGGTTATTTTTCTCGGAGTGTGTAATAATGTTTTGGCGCATACGGGAAGAATTTCATTGTCCGGAAGATGATTATTTAAAACTGGCAATAAAGAATCTAGTGCGTTATGAGATATGTTAAATGAAATTGCCCAATGCGATAATGCATGTTTCAGGCTAACTTGAGAAGAAGCTGACGATGGTGTCAACTCAATTGAAGGACTTACTACATTTTCTAGACTGTGAATATTGCTGTTACCCAAAGAAAAATCATATTTATAGGATGGCACACTTCTTAATGGAGTAACCAAAACTTCAGGACTTATTTTACTTAACGAATTAATAGTGGACTGAACATCCTTGATGATTCTGCGGCGCTTGGATCGATATGACGACATTAGGATGAGTTATTATCTGGTGACTGTTGGGATTTCGGCGGCCGAGAATTTTGAAGCCAAGTCTGAATGAAGGCAACAATTTCTGACGTCTTGGAAGCACGGCAAACTGGATTTTCCAAAGCTCCGTCTAGTTATCAGCAAAAAAACTTATTATCTGAATTACAGTTGTACTCATGGCTTCTTTCCGCTTAGTGTAAATTAATTCTCATGTGTGCAATATTATTACACATGCCTACATATTATAAACCCCAATATTCAAAATCCTGGCATATATGCAAATGTTTAAGAAATATTTAACAACTAACCTAGAACCGCAGCAGCTAATGGAGAACTTTTGAAGCAAATTTTATTGTGAACCCCAATGTAATTTGTTTGCACCGCTAATTCTTTTGAGAATAGACGTTGCAGAATTCCAGTGACAACTTTCTGTGGTGTCTTGCCCCCAAAGGATGAAAACATGTCAACCTACATAAGCAATTGTGGATTAATAAAATTTGGCAAAACAATTTAAAATAATTATCAAATATTTGTACCAAGCTGGTTTTATGATTGTTATCAGCCATCCAGTGTTCCAAGCTTCTCATATCCGTCAGAGATTCAAGTGGCAATTTTACCGGGACATTGAGTTGCACCCTAGTTGAGGTCGATTTAGTTCGAATAAGTAGCTCTTGAATATCATCCTTTAATTCACGGACGGTAGTGAGCAGATATTTTTCGAGCGCTATATACAAAATTTAAGTTTTTGTTAATAATTTCTCGTTGACTAATTACGGAAATGACTTAAATGAGGTCTAGTACCGATCTGCCGTGTATACAAAGTTAGCAGAGTTGTCCCAGGTGGTAGTTTTCCTTCTTCAGATTCTTGGCCCAGATCGCCGTCGGCTGAATTGTTCACAATAAAGTCTTCCTCAGTTTGGAATACAGAAATTTTGATAACTTGTGATTCCCCCGGAGGCGAAAATATTTGTGAATTCACTGGCACAGATTCGGGAGGAGTGGTGACGGTTGTTGATTCCAAAAATGACCCGTGATCTGTAGGTCCTGTGAGTAATTATTAGCAGTTAATGTCAACCACTTTGCACTATAATGTGTTATCAATTAGGCACAAGTGTTTTTTTAAATAATAATATAATAAACATAACGAAAGTAGTTGTTAAGTAAAATTCCATACCTTCATCTTCGTCTGATGGTAATGCGGGCGATAACCTCAGATTGTCTTCCTCCTCTAACGATACCTCATTCCCCTTATTCTTTTTTATGCTTATCTTTCTTTCAAATATCTTTCTCTTTCGCGAAGATGTCCCCCCAGAATGATCCGATGACGACTCGAGATTTGATTCCTCCTCCGCACGTTTTTCTAGGGCTTTTCCTTCCTTCAAATCTCGAACTATAATTTATTTAACAAATTATAAATTATAATTGATGTATTAAAAGTTATAGAAGTAAATTAGCATAAACTTACCATTGCTACGTTTAAGTTGAATCGGATGCAGTTGCCAATTTTCTTGTGGAGCAGCAAGTTGACTAATTAACTTGGAAGCAATTTTATTTGCTTTGGGTCCGGCTGGCCAGTAGCAAAATTTTCTGGTAGCATCCAACCAAATTTCAGGAACAATTTGCACACTGTTATCACTGGGATCCGTAAAATGGACAATGCAAAACATTGTAAATTCAGTTAAATGAAGAGAATATTGATGGAGGATCGTTAACTAATATGAGTGCGGAAGAAGTGTGAAATGAGGGAAAATAACGGCCAACCAGAGTTGCGTCCCCTGTATTTTACCAGTCTTTTACGGACGTTTTACTGTATGAATACGGAGAAGAATATTGGGAGCCTGTCTCAGAGTTTAATGTATGTAATATATTTGTTTCTCCGTGAGTGTATTACTTTAGTCGTTTTGATTCATTAAAACTGGAGTTTAACATCGAACATTTAACACATTTCTCACTACTGTAAAACCCAAGAGTAAAACTTTGTATTTACCTCCATATTCAACTTATATTTTACTAAACCCGGTTTTTACAGCCTATCTGATCAAATACTCCCGTTTTACTGGGTTCATGTCTTTCTGGGTCTGTAGGAAGAATTTAAAAATATATTATTATAAAAAGTTTTGTAAACCCATAACGTTAAAAAATTTATTAAATTTTTAAAATCGGTCCATAAATATTTGAATTGTAAACTTTACTAGCCGAGCAAGAATTTCCTCTGGTTTAAATGCGCAGACCATTATAGGAATATTGTGAGGACTGGGTAAGTCAAGGTAAATAATTAGTCGGTAAATAATGCGTCAGTAAACCAATGTCGGTAACGCAAATATTACGCACACCATGACTTAAAAAACACTTGTGAAAGTCAATGCAAATTTCGGTTTCATTAATACGCCGTCTTATACGTTGCAATCGAGACATTCCCTTCTGGAACAGGACCCTTCAAATAAATAATTACTAATTAATAGAATTACGGAATTTTTATATTTTTATAATATTCTAACCTTGATAATTTCACCAAATTCACAATCCACCAATTCCGCAGTTCCCATCTCGTCGTAGACCACGTCACCTTTGCAGTTTTCAAATTTGTTTCCATTCCCCTGAAGCAACACAATTTTTCCCGTGTTTACCTTCACCATCCGAACCGAGTTACCGTGGCGGACTAGGACCCCAGCGAAGTCACAATTTATGGCAACCACCCCCTCATACCCGGTCGTCAGTACTGCAAGCCCGCAAGGACACACATCAATTTTTCCAACGTCGTAACATGTCGATTCCATTTTGGGCATTTTCTCGTTAGAAACCATTACGCAATTTGTCAATGTGACCTCCCCCACGTGCCGCGGGGTCAAGTCCACTCCACCCATTCTAAGTTTGTCGTCCAGATTATAAACCGTGAATATAGCGATTCCATATTTTACCACATTTTTGCACGTTACATCTTCTAATCTCGTTCTCACCCCGTTCACATGAACCCCGGCAAATTTGGCTTGATTAATTTGCACATTTGTAAACACATTTGTCGTTTCCAGACGTTGAAATCGCGGTTTTTTCGACACAATCAAATTCCACGTGGTGTAGCAGATTCCGATCTCCTCTTACGTCACAAGTACATGAAAGTTGCTTACTACCAAGAAACCGGATCTCCTCGAGGACATTTCGATTGCAACCGGTATCAATTAAAACTTGGTGATCGAATTGAATGGTTAAATTCTTTATTATAACGTCGCAAGCTTTGTGAGTAATTTTGATTCCATCCACAACCACTCCTCCTTCTCCCCGTAGCTCGACGTTGCTTGTGTCTATGACAATTTCTTGATAGGAATTGCTATCAAGAATGATGGTGATCTTGTCGGGGCCGCGCAAAGTTGACAATATTCTAATGACATCAGTACTACTGGCCGCAGAGAATTGATTGATGTTACTACTTTTTTCATTGATGAAAGCGATCGTGCGTTGTTTTGAGATTGGAATACGTCCAATTTGTGGCCTCTCGTCAGGCTGCGAGCTTGTCATGCAGGCTATCAGCTGTCCTATTGAAAGAAGTGGGGGAAACGTGAGGGATTCTAGGTCTGATTTTGACAGAGATGCATCTTTCTCTAAGGTGATCGTTTCCAGGATAATTATACCAAGTGAAAACACATCTGCGCAGAATGTGCCACCAGGTAGAGCCTCTGTAATTTCTGGTGCGACGTATCGCTGACTGGCTTGAACTTCTTCACTTGGTGTCCCTGTATGCTTAATTTTGACCGGAAATTCAAACACATTTGTAGTCGAGTGGGAAAACATGATACTTTCCGGCTTCAGACTGCCATGAATTATTCGCAGAGAATGCAAAAACTTTAGACCCTCGAGAACATCCTGAACTATTTGCATTTGGTTTTGAGCTAGAAGCTCCGTGGATCCACCAGAATTGGCATTTAACCAATCGCGCAATCTTGGACCAACCAACTCCATCTGTATTACGAATACTGATGCATAGATAAATGGCTTGGAATAAATTTTCAGAAGTCTGATTTCCTCAGCGAGTTTGTCATGACCCGAATTTGCCAGCAGTTTTGCAATTTCGCCGAGTTCCTTATAAAAATAGGGCACGTGTGTGGCGCTCTTAATCTGGACAATGTTTAGGTGTCGTTTATCCTTCAAATTGTTACAGTGCGCTTCCAACTTTTCATACCATTTGTCATTTTCCTTTGGGTTTTGGAAGAACATTTTTGCCACAAGCTCCTCTGACTGGATGCGTATTTGAAAAACATACGCGAATCTGCCTCGTCCTATGAATCTCTCGATACATTCGTGTATCACGCATCTTTTCTTCATAATGTTAACTTCATCAATGGTTTTGGTACGATACGCGAGATCCTGGTTTGTCAATGAAGTGATCAATTTAGCCAAATCGGTAAAAATCATGTGACGATCTGGAACATCGAAGCTCTCTTTTTCCTTAACCATGTTAAACAGCCTGTTCCGTTCGTTGTCCACTTTTAAGCTGACAACTTCCAATATTACAAGACCCAGCGAGTAAAGGTCGGCTTGCAGGCCGTAGTTTGATGTACATGTTTCCGGCGCGTTGTACAGCGTGCTCCCTGGGTGAGTCGTGAAACTACTGGATTTACTGCCCTGGGAATGAACTTTCCGAGCTAGCCCGAAATCTCCTAGCTTGACGGGAAATTCGTATCCATTTCCGGAAAACATGACATTTTCAGGACGTAAATCGCGATGAATAATTTTAATGCCGTGGAGAAATTTCAAACCTTGAATGATATCGTGCAGAATCCAAAATTGAGTGTTGGCAGTGGTGTAGGGTACCATTTGTGTAGGGGACGACTTTTCTTCAATCCAGGACCGTAAATTGTTCCCACAAAGCTCCATTTCCATAATAAAAAATGATAAAGGTGCCGTTTTACGCCGTTCTCTTCGTAACGAAAGGTCCAGCCAATCTTGGAGGACGGGATAATTTTCGGATTTAGGTAAGTTTCTTAGTCGCTCAAAATCTGGATAAGTTAGGACGCATCCTTGCTCATATTTTAATGTTTTTACTATGTTTGGATGGTAAGAGTTGGTCTGGGTGGCTTCTATGCAGTCATATTCACGAGTAATGTTTTTAATGATGACATCATCCGCCGGGTCTTCGAGAATGAGTTTAACAGCGGTTGGAATGGTGTCTTTGGTTTGGAGGACGAGGCCAAATGAACCACAACCTAAGAATTTGTCAAATTTGGTACAGTCGAATTTTGAGGCTAGGAGGAGCCTGGATATTTTGGGGGCTTCGATTTTCGCCATATTTTCCAAGGAGTGAGCGATATTAAGCTGATGTCGTTCTTCGTTAAAAAATCCCACGGCGGTGTCTTTGTTCGCTATAAAGGAGTAAAAATAAATAAACTGAACAGTTTATTTATTTACTTACAACTAAATTTTTTCAAAACATTTTGAAAAATTTAGTTGTAAGTATATAAGATTTATGGTTATCGAAAAACCAAGAGGTCGCGAGAGTTATCGAGAATGGTTACCGGTAAGTTTTTTTTTAATGTGACACGTTTGACGTTGACCAGCAGCCTTCAAGTCCGGCAGTTCTACGACAGTTTATTTCAACTCGTAACAATTTCAACATGAATATATTTATTCTTACAAGATGACTTTAATTTTTTAACAAATTAACGCTTACTTTACATTTACGCAGCGGACATGATTTGCTTATAGGGAATGAACGTACAATTTGGAAAGGATTTTATTGCGAGTATCTCGAATTAATACCTCTCAGGACAGCTCTCCAGAGCCCGAAAAAGGATTTATTAAAAGGTGAAATTATTCATTCAAGTTCAATGGTCATTCTTCAACTTGAACTTGAACATATCCATGACTTTGCCCACACAGTTAATTGGGATGTAATTAACGACCCCCCTAATGTTTAGGTTTTTGCCCCCTAAACTGAGGAAATGAACCCCCATTGATTTTTGCCCCCACATAATTAATTTTTTACCCTCTAAATATCAAACAAATCCCCTTAATAAAATGACCGGATAAATACTGAAAATCAAGTGCAATTACATATATTTAGGTCGGAATTGTCAAGAATACTTAAAATAATTTAAATATTAATCCATGAAAAAGCTTTGGAGCACTTTGGTGGGCCCCTGCTTTCCTTCTTTCTCTGGGTATGTACTTGTTTCCTGAATTGAGACATGGTACTGTTCATCAGTTATCATCCACAATGACTGAGGTGTTATTCAATAATATCATACACCATTTGAGTCGAATGATGAATTTATTGCTAAAAACCCAATAAAACCTTTGGGTTGTTATTTTTATTTAAAACCCTAGATCACACTTGTGAAGATCACAATGGTCACAAAAGGTCACGTGATGGTTAAATTACATAGAGGTGAATCAATCGGGACCTTCATTTTAACCTCAAAAGTCACGCAAGGAAACCAAATGTAACATAGGTAATGTAACATAATGTAAAGGTTGAAGTACGGTCAACCAAAGGGAAATTTAACCCAGTAACCCCGAATTCAACGGTCACCACCATTATGACCTCAAAGGTCATTTCGACGTATCACACACTTTTGATTCCTTGGTTGCAAGCGTTGTAACCATTTGATTAATATGTCGGTCGTAGATCACAACTGATGAACATTACTATGTTTCAATCAAAACAGGAAGGTACTCAGAGAAATAAGGAATGCAGGGAGCCCACAAATGTGCTCCAAATCATTTTCATTGATTAATACTTAAATTATTTTGATCATCCTTGATAAGTCCGATCTAAATATCTGTAATTACACTTGATTTTCAGTATTTATCCGGTCATTTTATTAAGGGGATTTGTTTGATATTTAGAGGGTAAAAAATTAATTATGTGGGGGCAAAAATCAATGAGGGTTAATTTCCACAATTTAGGGGGCAAAATTCATAATGTTAGGGGGGTCGTTAATTTAATCCCCAGTTAATTTAAGACCTAGCTGGTCAAAATCAGTTAACTAATGAGTACGTTAGCGTGTCACTGAGCGATAAATCGACACCACGGGTTCATAAGCCCTAGTTCGGGCTTAAAATGAATCACACGGACGGAACGTGACGCACTTCCCTTATCACAAGTTATCTTTTATAAACAACTTGTTGATTGAGTTGCATATTCATATATCATGAATACGATGAATGGCTTCCTCTCTACAATGCTATATATTTTTGTAATCAACTCATTGGAAATTCCAACCACCTGTATTGTTACATATGCCCAACATCACTAACGCAATGAGATATCAGTTGATTCAAGGACTGGTAAATAAATGGCTTACAATTAATCTGTCTGGCGTCGGTGTTTGTGTATCCAGCAGGATGTAGATATGTAATAGTTTGCATATATTAAACCTTGTGACAAACTATTTGTGGGACGTACTTATTTGTTAACAAACTTGTGTATGGCAAGTAACAATTACAAAACATATCTTCATTAAATTTGCATTATTTGCAAATTGCAAAATAACTCAACTTTTGTTTATTCTACTATGAAAGGTTTTACAAAGCACTGTTATCAATTAAATTCTTTACCCAATAATTGCCTACTTGCTCTTCATTTTCACAATAAAACTGGGACGCAACGACTAATTTCTGTAAGACCTTATTTAGGGTTGAAAAATATTGTTCGAATTTCATCACTCTCGGATTTTAATGGTTAGTTCCTCAATTAAAATAATAGACTATGACTAGTAAACATTTATTATTATTTGTGGGGTTCATAAATTAAATTTTGTTTCGTGAATAATATCCAATTAGCTTTTAAATTTTGCTCTTTTGAAGATTACATATCATGTGTCCCAGAGTAAGTTGGAAGGGCGACTTAAAGTATACTGCGCAATTCTTGGAGATTGTTATCCAGCTATTTTATGTTTTCGAGACGCAATTTGAAGGGCAACCAGCGGGTATAAAGCATCTTTTGTTAAAATGACAAAATTCAATAGAAATCAGGGTCAAAATGAATGCCTCGAAAATCGAGTTTTTCACAACTACAAAATTGTCACTTGACGTGACCAGAAAAAGGCATCGCAGTATTTCAAAACCGAAAGGTGTCCCAAAATGACAATCAACCTTTATATTTCGAAGTATTACGATGACAAAAGGTGAATTTCGAAAAACATTCTAGGCCACCTCTTGCCACAGGCACTCACCAAAATTTGAAAGTCATCAAACTATTCATCACCAACAACTCTTTCTTTAAATTCGTGCCGCCGTTCGGAAGCTGAAAATTATAAAAAGTTTGTTGCGCAACCTGAAAGTTCATAAATTGGGGATTATAGAAAAGAATAAACAAAGTTGGCCAAAGTACGTTGAGGACCAAAAAATCACCGTCCAAAAATTTTGCAAAAAAATAGGTTGATAAATGTCATTGAAAATTATCATCAATAAACACGAGACCCACGTCGACCCCAATCTATGAAAGACTTCGGGAACCGCATTTTTTCACGCAGGCAGCCTTGCCAATATAGGTTATCAACGGAAGTTGTTCATGAAAACTAAATTCTTGTAAAATTCCTGGTTAGCCATCCCACGGTTAACATTGGGAAAGATACCCTTAAAACCGAAAACCCTCCAAATGCCCCTATTTGCGAGAAATTGAAAAGTTTTGGGCCTTGTTCATAAAAAGGTACTCTAACCTTCACTCTAAGGCGAATAGGTAGGAAGAATTCGAACGATAATGGCGAAAAATCAGAAAGTACATTTCGAAAACGAGTGAAAATCACTAATTCGAGGGTTGTTGCAGAAATTCGGATTGGAGGCGAAGAATAGAGTAATAAAAATCCTCCGGGTAAAAAACTGGTTGGTACGATTCCCACCTACACCACCCAAAAGGTTTTACAAAAATCGTTTAACCAGGTCGAATTTTACAGGTCATAGGGCATCTTCCAACTTAATATGGGACACACCATATTTTGTGAGAGACATCATAGAAATACGTATATACTCACTATCACTCCTCTCTTCTTACAGAACTAATTCCTTGAGAGAATTCGATGCCGAAAAATATAAAAAAACGAGGTTAATTGTTGAATCACAAGTTTTCACTTCGACTACTAAACTGTAAGTTCTGTAAGTTATAAAAGTATTTCATATCTTAGAGTAGATTCGCAAATACTGAAAAGTATCTGTAAACCATCTTGTAATTTTGTATTGGAATTTTAACGTTATCGTGTACTTGTAGGTGCAAATTGGAAGTAAAGAATTTTTTCTATCTCCAATCAACTGAAAAATTCCCTAAATTATCTGAATAATCCCACAAAAATGGATTCCAACGGTTCGCACAAATTGGATTATAATTTATTAGGGAGATTTCTGGGAGCTGGTTCCTTCGGTTACGTTTTTAAGAAAAACAGCAGTGTTCCAACCGCAGTAAAAATAATCTTCAAAGAAGAAGTACATCAGCAAGAACTAAATCGTCAAAATGAACCACACAACAGGGGAGATGACGCCTTGTCATTACTTCACGAATACAATATTATGGAAGAATCAAAAACCAGTCATCCCAACATTGTCAGCATTTTCAAATGCGGAAAACTTGTCATAACACTAAATGATATTGGAGAACTGACAAAGGTTTCCGACACCATTGACAACGAAGACGCTCAGGAGAAGCTAGAATTATTACTAATTAAAGCATCCCGTGGCACACCTTTCACTTTGTTTACTATCGAAATGGAACTATGCGGACAAAACTTGAGATCTTGGTTACACTCAAATTCACACCGTAAGTATGACTTACCCGAACTGATTGTAGCCATGACAAGACCAATACCAGAAGAACGATTTAAGGATATTGAGAATTTGGTGTTTTCAACAAACGAAAACTACTATTTCGTCCCAACACAGGTAGAAATATTACACTCTGTAACCTGCACTCAAGAGATAGCATCAATTCTTGAAGCAGATAACGGCACCAGAAAGTTAGTGATATCTCTCATCAATAACTCTTACGACGAAATACTCGTAACAAAAAGTAATATTGAATTAATTGGAGAAAGTCAGGAAGGAGTTATTATTGCTGGCATTAAAATTGGCGCCAATGCCAGTAAAGTTTCAATCATGAATCTTTCCATCGCCTTAGACCATCAACTTCTCATCGAATATGGCTCGAGTTACAACCTTGTCAAGAATGTCAGATTTCTCGGAGGCAGCAATAAAAATAGAAACATCTGTGAAATTAGGGGGACCCGAAACGTAGCGAAGCAATTGTCCTTTGGTAATGTTGCAGAAACTGCTATAGGAACTTCCGGTTTTTACAACTCATTCCAAGACGTCGTAATTGAACGGGCTAACATTGCAGTTCATATTAACGGGGAAGGAATTCGGTTGAAGAATGTCGTTTGCAAGGACTTCATTGAAAATGGGATCACTACATTCAAGTCAAATTCCATTTTGGAAGATTGCGTAATGCGTTCGAAGAGAATTCCTAAAATTACTTGCAATTCGAGAGATATTACCAACGTGAACATGAGCCCTTGCGGACTTTCTGGCTGGGCCGGATGTGATGGACTCTTCGCAGCCGGTTGTATTTTTGAAGGGGTGCAGGTCAGATATAATTGCGCGGTGCGGTTAGAAAATGTTGCGTGTGGAAAGGTTACATTACTTCAGGGAGAACGGAATAAGGTTACGAATTGTTGGGGTAACGTTTTTTATGATGTTTCGTCATCATCGGAAATGATTGATTGTCATTTTGGGGAGATATTTAAGGTAAAATACAGCATGAACGTTTTTGCTAGTACCTTCATGATTAAATTTTGCTTTTGTACAGGGGAGAATTCCAGAAGAGAGGATTGTTGTTGCAACTTCCAAGATTGAAGATTTTGCGTAATTTTGACGTTTAAGCACATCAGACTAAGGTTAGAACTTATTTCAAAATAGCGGGGAACCTGCAATAGGATTAGCGGTAGAACTTTGGCAATTTTCTTGTACATATTAACTAAACTATTTTTAATATGCGATTATGTTTTATACCAGGATAGCATATTTGTGACGCCTAATTGTGCTCAATTATTTAGCTAAGCCTATTTATTATAAATTGTAATGAACAATTTTCAAATCAGGATCAGATGCAATTCAACACATCAACTAGTTTCCGTCCATTATTATCAGTCGCAATCGTCGGATAATTTTTCTGAGAACCTATTTGTCCATATATAATTTAAATAATTTCGTCATTGGCAACAATAGCAAAACCGTTGTTTAATAAAAAGAAGAGGATGGTGTACAACTTTCCGTTCACAAAATTTTATTCTACTGCTAGGTAACCTTTCAGAATTTTTTGCGGCTAAGAATACTGGACGAACAGTAGGTTTGATTAGTTAGGTCGTTTACGAAATACTTCGGTGTATACAATTATTGTACTGGACCAGTGAGACAGGTGTATGTCCAATAATTAGACCTCTTGAGCCACCTAATGGGTCACGCGGCAACCTCATTAAACAATTTCATGTCAAAGAAACTGTTCCAAGCCGTATACAAAATGCAATGTTTTCATGAAAAGTGCAAAATATGCTCGGAGGCAGATTGAAAAGTTGGGTCAAGTCGATAAGCACGGCAGCAGATTTAACTTAGTGTCTGTATTCATTTCTCTTAATGAAGTAGAAATAACTAATAGACAAGTTTGACAGGTAATACATTAAGACCTGCAATGAGTAAATATATATTTTTAACAACAATAATAAATTGTTAGTAATTACAAATACCAAATAATTATTTTTTGTAATTTAATAATTTTAATAATTTAATAATTTTAGTAAATACTTAAAACTGTTCTCCAAAGGAAAGAGAGTTGGTAATTTTTAATTCAAAATCATTCTAAGAATTATTTAACAAAATTCCGACGAATTTTGAACACTTCTCACCCAAATTGTATCCATGTTATATATTTCGTGCATGTATACAAAAAACTTATATTTCATAAAACTACAGAAAGAATAAATTATTGCCTTCATTAAGATTAAATAACTGCAACATTAAGTTCATTATTAATTTATTTAATGACTAACACATATAAATGAACATAATTAGGTCAGTAGTAAGTGACAACAAATATAGATATTATGTACGTAATCATAGTATTTTAACAATTTGTGACAATATGGATCTTTACATATTATAACTAATATAATTATCGCTTATTTTGGAAGTAATGAATACCTATTAAGATGATCAATAAGATATAAGTTTTTGACAATTTTTATAAATTATAATCCATGAATCTGTTTCAATTAATTTTCTTACTTACAAAACGGGATTACTAATTCCAGCAGTGTCCCGTACTTTATTCATGCACGTGTTCACCACGTTAGGAAGCATAGCCGCAAGCTTAACCCCTCTCGGTAAAACAGTTCCATCATAACTCGTTCATATGGAATATCGAGAACCCTCAAATTCTTGTACCTTGGAACCTCATTATCATCCCCGACAGGAAAAAAAAGTTTCAAACAATGCACCAAACTCTTGCCAAAATACGATGTTACTACTTGGGACTGAATACTCCTTTATATCCGTCACAATCCGGAGACTTAATAATTTCAGGGATGCCAGACATTTCTCAAAAGGTGGAATTTCTTCCGATCCGAACTCAATCATCATAGCCAATCCTCTCTCATTCCGCTCTGATGGAAAACCTATTACTAAATTAATTAAGACCTCGAAGACCGGGAGACTTAGCGGAAATCTTAGCGGAAATGTTGTTTCTTCTTCTATTGGAAGCACAAACTCCAAATTTACCAACGTTTTGGAATGTTTCTCAAGAAGCTGCTCAAACTGGGAAAGGTGCCGATGCTGAAACGTATCAAGTCCCGTCAAGATCAATGTTCGCAGCGGTCTAACTAGATTCGAGAGAAACTGCAAACCTATCGGAGACAAGGGACCAATCGTGATTTCATTCAGATTTGGGAATGGCAGTGACAAATTAATAAAACTGCGGATCCATGTATCACGAGAATCTAAACCTAGTGACTTGATCCCGCACCCTGGCAGCACTTGATCACCTGGTGAAGTAACATTAACAAGGTTCAAATTTGAATAATCACTCAATCTCCAAGTCTCGGACGTGTCCAAGGATAAGGAAAATTTTTGTAGCTTGCCAAATTTCAATATTTCCTTAAATTGTGCTGTTTTTGCAGGGTCGATAGCATAATCGGGTTTGGAGGAGTTACCCGAGAAACATATTTCTACCAATGTTTCCTTCAGTTTGTCCAAAATTTGCATCCTATACTCCCAGTCGATTGAGGAGTCGAGAGGACCGCATAATTTTATTACTGTAATGCAACTACATATACTGATTAATAAGAGAGTTTAAATCGTATTGGAATTTTTCCTGCATTGACAATGAAACCACTCCGAATTGATCAATATCGTGTAACTTGGGAAGTATTAGCTTCCACGAAGTCATCGGACAAGCCTGCATTTCGTTTGCGTATCGCAGAATAGTCATGAAGTTCATGTACTGATCGATATCGAAATCAAATTTGGCGTACCCCCTTTTCTTAATAAGTGATAGGGCTTCCCGATTAAATGTTTTTGAAACTAGGCGCATATTATTTAGCTCGGAAAATTCAAGATGGATGAGAATTCGGGACAAAATCTGCAAAAAATATGTAAGAACAGTTTTAGCAGATTTTTATACCCGATGGTCGACCTCTCAGTTAATGAATTGTCTCTAAAACTCACAATCGAACCTTTTCCCAAGCTACACCGGGATCGACTAGCGAGTTATGACACAAAATTAAGCCAAAAATTAGGAATTGCATAGCGCTTACCATTTCCGTTGAATGACCCATTTGAATAAAAATATTGGCGGCAAAGTTCAATTTTTTTTAAAATTTTCCCTCCCTTTTGCTCCATGAGGCGAAAACCCACGGAGCTTGTGTGTACTTTGACCCGAAATATTTTTCTTCAATGGGGCCATTCAACGGAATGATAAGCGCCATGTGATTCCTAAATTTTTGGCTTAATTTTTTGTCATAACTAGCTAGTCGATCCTGGTGTAGCTTGAAAAAGGATTCCATTGTCAGTATCATCTACATACCCATACATATATACACATAAATCTTACCAAATGATTATCCCCGGGGAGAAATGTTCCACAAAATTCAGCGCACTTCCCCAACTTGTTCTCGTTAAATTTCCTACGCTCTTCTGGCGTAGAAAGAAATGTCAAATCTTCAACTTTGCAGCCCATGTCATGATATGGTATGGTCCATTTGGGGCCCATGTCAACATATTTCTCTAAATTGAATGCTTCCGGATCCAATTCCCTTTTCTAATTTCAATTAGAAATTCACATAGTTAAGTTTGTGTAAGACAAAATTTGAATTACAAGGGACAAGTGCCTGGTGTCCGTCCGGCATTTTGCATTAACAGTTTAGTACGGTACTACTAGGTACATACATATATGAAAAATTTGGTATCAAAAGACTCGTAACCTGTATGTATTTGGTAATAATTTTTGGTATTAAACTGCCCCCACCAAAGTCACACCAAACCACATCGTTCGTGTGTGACAAGCTTCAAGTAAAGTTAAATTCTTATTTACCGAGAATATAAAAGTTTCCCAATCCCTGCAATCTTTATTCTTGTAAGTGTCTACATTGCTGCTCGTCTTGTTGTCCTCGTTCCTGCCACCATCCCTGCGAATTTTAGGATCACCAAGCCTGAACACGTTACGAAGTGCAATTGTGTCTCCAAATTTCAAGCGAGTCCTGCCCTCAACTTTGACCTCGTTTATGGAAACAGAGTCGACCTTGTTACAAAATCAGAAAATACTTGATTGAACATATTCAAATAGCCGTTATAAATAATTTTAAAAAATCTAGATTTGATTGACCAACGTGTATCGGTGTGACGAAAAAGCTGCCTTCAAGACAAATAATTTCGCAAAGATTGATAACTTTCTGCTCGTTTTGAGGGAGTCTGTAACCTTTATACGGATCTGTTTCATAGCATGGGAAAGAAATGAATTCGCTTTGCTCCTCCCGGCTGGTGAACATGTTTGCTATCGTGTACTAAAAAATAAAAGCTTATCTTACAATGCGGCGAATTTTTCCGGAGTTCAGAGTTATCCGATCTATGGTGAAGTGTAACCCTCAGCTTTGGTTGAAATTTTGTCAAAATAATTGAGGTTAAAGTTAGAAAATGTGCAATTTTTAGCACGGGAAGAGAATGGAAGTTGAGTTTGTTTCCTCCGCCTGGTAAGAATCGCACGTTTATCAACTTTGCCAGGGTTTCGATTGGTAAAAACCAAATTGACCAGGGCAGCGGGAAAAAGTGGGAAAACGGCATTTTTACCACCCACCCAAAATGTGTGGGAAGTGGGAAAAATGGAAGAAATGGGAAAAACTCTGGTTTTAGGGCAATCCGAAACAACTTCTTTAAAACTTAAGATTTTCAAAATTTGACGTCATATTCGTATTCTGCATCAAATTCTGAGAAAATTAGTTGGTAATACGGTTCAATTTTATCAATCTCTAAAATTAACATGTATCCATATGGGAAAATTGTAAAAATAATTAAAACTGATCAAAATTCTCAGAAATTCGGGGAGATCACGAATATGAAGTCGAATTCCGGAAATATTGATTCTTAAAGAAGTTAGCTTTCCCCATAAGTAAATACATGGGCAGCCATATTTCCCATTTTGGACGGTAAAAACCGTTTTTCCCGGTTTTTCTCACTTTTTCTCACCTGCCGTTGTAACAAATCGTTTTTGACGGGAAAAACGAAACCCTGACTTTGCCCTCCAATATTTTGGCAAATTGTGACCATCGCACAAACTGCCTGAAGAACAGGCCCGATTTAGGGGCGGGCAACCCGGGCGGTTGCCCGGGGCGCCAAAACCCGGAGGGGCGCCGCAAGGCGGCCCGGTTTACACTAGATATAATTGATTTTGCCCGCATTAAGATACGAAAATATTTCCCTTGATGTTTTCATTGTAGTAAAGTTGGGACAACTAATCTCGACTATTCCGATGTGACGACGACCACTGCAGCTTTTAAATTACATTTTCTAAATTTTTGGCCCCCACTCTAAATAAATATAAGTCAAATTTACTCATGGTTGAGTTAAATAAAGGCTGGCAACAATTGGCTAAACTTGACCCAATGGTCGTAAAAAAATTATCCAGCCGTTAAATATATTTTTCACGAAGGTGGATACATTTACATATGTACGCAAGCATTAAATAAATTTTACCTAATTACTCTAATCTTCTTTTTTGATCAAACCTATGGTACATTTTAGTAATCTCCTTAGAGTGCATTGGCGCCTAGACGGCAATGTTATGCGACGTTATGTCAATTCTGTAAAATTTGAATTAAGAAAATATTCGTGCCTATATAGTAATACATTTATGTATAGAATTTACTGCGGCAAAGCAAAATAAATTGTGCGATAGAAAAACCGTTCGATATCAAATATTGGGTGTAGTAACAGCTTGAAAATTTTTGTGTGGTAGCCTAGATAGATTGTGGTTGTACATGTTTCCTATTTATGTTCGAGAAATGTCCATAAAATTCCACCATCTCATTTTATACCTCGAAGCTAATTTTTTAGCTATGTACACCTTCTGTTTAGCCCATATTAATATAATGAAAAAATCTGAAAGGTTTCCTGGCAGATTTTTGCATAGTGTTTTCAAAACACCAAAAAACCTCTCAGAAAGTTTTCCCAGCAATTGAGACTATTAATATTGGTTGAACAGTAGTATTTTTTCCTTTGTGTTCATACTTTCGTGTTAGTAGCTACTCCTACATTTTTTAATCAGGCGAATTTGAGGGAGTTTAAAAACTTCTTCCATAAATCCAATGTTAAGCTTTTGAAATTTAAAAAGATTCAAAAGTGCACAACTTGGTCGAAAATATCGTTATGATCTACATATAACTCAAAATGAAGATATTAAAATGTTCAGAATGACTTAGGGTATCAATACAATAGTAAGACCATAGAAGTAGAGGATTCAACGCTAGTTATTAAAGCCAGAGGAAATCCAGTTACCGGAGAAGAAACCTGAAACCGGTTTTTACGGGTTCCGGATTGATGGTCGACAAACGAGTTGTCGACACCTCATTGGTCGACAAATAACATGTCGCAAAACCAACTAGTCGCCAATCTCGTCTTGTCGACAGAAGACTGGTCGGCACAGTAGATCGGTCGACATTGCATATTGGTCGCCAATCTCAACTGGTCGACAATAAATTGGTCGACGCCAATTAAAAGTCGTAGGAAATACTTGAAAGGGAAGTTGTACGTGCAAGCACTTGATTTTGGTACCAATTACACAGACGCATGGAATTAATATGTACATAGGCGTAAAGAATTAAGTTTGAAGAGGCTCGCGCAAGGCTAAAGAGAGTTGCTTTGAATGAGCACTTGCGCTCTTTAAAAGTGGTCAACAAGATGAATCAATGAATCAATGAATCAATGTAATGGGGCGCCTTAATTTTTGCCCAGGTAAGATTTTGGGGAAGATCGGGGCCTGCTGAAGAAACGTTGGTTGTATTAACATGGACCACATAATTTCAAAATTCCAACAAAATCGGAGGGTTACACTTCACACCATCGCATTATTAGTTGGAGATTTTCGGATAGGTTAGTTTACATATTTTCAAAGTAAGTACAGATATACATACCTTCTGTCCTTCAACGTTGGGCAGAATGGCGTACCGGTACCAAATTTTATGTCCCATTTTCCGCAGCATCATTTTTTTCTGTTCCCTATTCTCTAATATGGGTGTCATCTTCCTACTCACCATTACTATTTTATACTTGTCTTTGTACTCTTTAAGTAATTCAGCATCGTGGTGATCCATTTCGGGCAAATTTTATTAGTCAACGAAGTATTTTTCACAAGTCGAGATCATTTGAGGTGAGGGGTCGAAGAGGAACTTAGCTTATCTGGAGTTATCTTGTGCTCATACACAATCCTGGAAAATCTTACATAATTTTCCAAGTGTACTACTAACACTTTGGTAGCGTACTACCGCAAGAAGAAGGTTATACCCTAAAGATGCAATTTGCGGTCACGTCAAAGTACGAAAAGGCATTGTATAGGCTCCTGGTTATCCCTATTTTTATAACGACAGTATACTTACATCAACATGGATTGAAATTTGGTTGGAAAGTGCGTACAAAAATTAATTCCGAACCTACTTAAAGACTCAAGATTTAAAATTCGACGAAGCATGGTCTTATCTTCATTATTCGTCGAAAGATGTGTACCCTTCTGCAAAGTCCATCTAGAAACATTTCACATGATGGTTTAATCCGACCTTGTGTTCACCATCAGAAGAAGGAAGACTATTTTTGCTGAAGACATTGCCCACAAAACTTTGGGGCACGATTTGTAGGGCGAACGCAGTGGGAAGTAGGAAAAAAGTAGGAAACCCTCATAAAGTAGGAAAAAAATCGAGCACTAACGAAACTGTACCAAGTTACAAATTGTTTTAAAAGCGTATTTAACGCAGCTGCCGAAACGTTGAACGACGCTGATGAAAAAATTCGTGAATTTGTCAGAATCAAGTTTGTACACAAAAATTAAACTCCCTTATACAGAGAGTGGGTCACTTATACCGAGAGGTGTTTAAAAATTGTTCTAACCTATATATGATGTTTTTTTGGGATAATTAACTTGCTCGATATGATTCCCCTTATTCTGGGCTACAAGTTTGCAACGTCTTTTCTTTGATGAAAACACTTCCTGACAATTTTGGAAGCTCATGTTTTTACCACTTGCCCTTGAAACTTTTCCAAAGTCCATCTAAAGTCGTAGCTAATTTGTACATTTTCTCCACGAATCAATCATGGCTGGAAAACTTTTTCACTAGTACCTTCCTTAAAATGGTCAGAGAGGAGCCATTTTTCAGAATTTCGAGCAAAAAAAAATCATATCAAATTGGTTTATCTATCAAATAGTGTAGGACGTGTTTGTTTAAGTTGTCCCACTTTTTTCGCGCGAGCGTTTGAATTTTTCTCAGTATAAGTGCCCCATGCCCTGTAGAGATTCCCGGAAATTTGGGTATGGAAATTTGGGTATGAGGAAATATGGGTATCGGAAGTTTCGGTCTGCAGAAATTTTGATCTCGGAAATATGGGTAGCGGTATATTTGGGTATGCAGAATTTTAGGTATGGGAAATTTGGGTATGACAAAAAATGCTTTTCAACAATTTGCAATTGCTATTCGAAATTGTGGTGGCCCTTAAAAGGGCCGATTATTAAGGGGTAAAAACCCCTTTATGGAAATGTCTTGTCCGTCCGTCCGTCTGTATCCACGATAACTTAGAATGGTTTCATATTTCGATATGCGGTTTTCGCCAACGTGTTTCTTATTTTAAGGGACGGGATGAGTTCGAAGATCGGCGTTGTAGGTCGTAAGGTCACGGCGTCACGGTGATGAAGCCAACGGTCAAAGGTGTAGAATTTTTTGTGTTGAACGTTTTAGACGTATTTTTTGGACGGGAATTTCAGAAATAGCCATCATTTCGACGTACGACTACTCCGTGACCGTGTGGGCGGTGTCGAATGTCGAAAAATGATTTTTGTCACATGTGGTGTGTATTGAAAGGTATGGTCGTGTAAGTTAGAATTACGCAGGTGGTGTGTAGAAACGGGACAAAATGAGACGAAGGGTGATGTTAGACGATGACGGTAATTCCTAATTTTTGAGTTGATTTGTTTATATAATTCGCTAATAGATTCAGGTGTAGCTTGAAAAAGTTTCCATTCTAAGCCAAAAAGTCTGGTTTCAGAAACATGTAATGACATCTAGCAAATTATGGCATTCGTAACTTGCACAGCATTATCTCAAACTACTGAACGCCCCAAATGAGCAAATAATTGATTAAATAAAATTTATTAGGAAGGTGTGTTAGGTTTTAACTTAATTCTCATAACGAGTAGCGGGTAACGGGTACTTGGGCTGCGGGTAACGGGTCGGGTAACGGGTAGCATTTTCGCTACCCGCGGCAACCCTAGCATTTTCCACACCACTGTATTGCAAGCTTTAATAAAAGATCAACTTCTGTGTAATTCTTTAGAAATCATCGACAAATATCAGCGATGATGGCCTTGTTAAACTGGATGTAATTTTCATCGACTTCTCTCCTTCAAATTATTTAATAATCCCAAGCCAACTAAATAATGATGTGTGACAAATTTTTAGAAAGCGAGGTATTAAGTCACACACAAGTATTTAAAAATCAGGCATTATTGCGTTTCTTAAAATTTTTCGTCGGTGTAGACTGATTATTTGCAATGCATCAACTCAGGGAACACAAAATGATAATCAAATACATAGATATATTTAGAAATTTGAGCTTAGCTAACGTAACTGAAAGAAAATATAATTGAATTCAAAAGTAGCGACGCAATACAAAATGTATATTCATTGTGGCAAAATTGAACAAATCCCATGCTAGAATTAGTTAAGAACTGAGAAAACCTGTAAACGGGACAAAGTGATATATCGAAACATTTCTAGTCATCTAATCCATTCATCGAGTCCCTCAAGAACTCGACCAGTCGAGTCAATCAATAAGGCAAACTCGAAGAATCAAGCAAACGTCCCAGTTAGATTCGAAATGGACTCGAAGCAAACATTCCAAATCGAATTAATGGAACTCATTTCGTTCGTTGCTCTACTATCAGGCTTAGAATGTTGCAAATTATCAAATTTCAATCTCGAAAAGTATTGAGAAGAGTATAGAGAATTATAAATGGACAGAAAGCTATTTTTGTAACTCAGTATGTCTCAGACTAATATGAATTTTACGCTAAAATTTATTAACACCTGGCTGACAATGTAAAACAATGCCATAAATTATTTGTAGCTGGGAATAATTTTACCACGCAAACGGTGTGGAATTGCTAGTCAAAGTAATATTTTAAAAAGTAATTTAGCAGTCAAGTGATATAAAAATCGTTATAGAAATGAGTGTAATTTGGTAGGTAACGATATATTTCCCAAAATTAGCAACTCATTGTATATTTTTTTTCTCATTTCCTACTCGTCAAAATGCACATACTTCGTGCAGTCGCATGTATTTTCCTCTGATGTTAATTTGTCGTTTGACACATCTGATTTTGTATTTGTCAAAGTGTACTTCCAGCCAGTTGTATGTATAAATTTTCCTCTGATGTTGTACTTCTCAAAGTGTACTGACAACCAGATTTTCTTCTGATTTTGTACTTGTCAAAGTGTACTTCCAACCAGATGTTCTTCTGATTTTGTACTTGTCAAAGTGTACTTCCAACCAGATGTTCTTCTGATCTTGTACTTGTCAAAGTGTACTTCCAGCCAGATTTTCTTCTGATTTTGTACATGTCAAAGTGTACTTCCAACCAGATTATCTTCTGACTTGATACATGTCAAAGTGTACTTCCAACCAGATGTTCTACTGATTTTGTACTTGTCAAAGTGTACTTCCAACCAGATTATCTTCTGATTTTATACATGTCAAAGTGTACTTCCAACCAGATGTTCTTCTGATTTTGTACTTGTCAAAGTGTGCTTCCAACCAGATGTTCTTCTGATTTTGTACTTGTCAAAGTGTACTTCCAACCAGATTTTCTTCTGATTTTATACATGTCAAAGTGTACTTCCAACCAGATGTTCTTCTGATTTTGTACTTGTCAAAGTGTGCTTCCAACCAGATGTTCTTCTGATTTTGTACTTGTCAAAGTGTACTTCCAAACAGATTTTCTTCTGATTTTGCACTTGTCAAAGTGTACTTCCAACCAGATTTTCTTCTGATTTTGCACTTGTCAAAGTGTACTTCCAACAAGATTATCTTCTGACTTGATACATGTCAAAGTGTACTTCCAACCAGATGTTCTTCTGATTTTGTACTTGTCAAAGTGTACTTCCAACCAGATTATCTTCTGATTTTAGACATGTTAAAGTGTACTTCCAACCAGATGTTCTTCTGATTTTGTACTTGTCAAAGTGTACTTCCAAACAGATTTTCTTCTGATTTTGCACTTGTCAAAGTGTACTTCCAACCAGATTTTCTTCTGATTTTGTACTTGTCAAAGTGTACTTCCAACCAGATTTTCTTCTGATTTTGCACTTGTCAAAGTGTACTTCCAACCAGATTATCTTCTGACTTGATACATGTCAAAGTGTACTTCCAACCAGATGTTCTTCTGATTTTGTACTTGTCAAAGTGTACTTCCAACCAGATGTTCTTCTGATCTTGTACTTGTCAAAGTGTACTTCCAGCCCGATTTTCTTCTGATTTTGTACATGTCAAAGTGTACTTCCAACCAGATTATCTTCTGACTTGATACATGTCAAAGTGTACTTCCAACCAGATGTTCTTCTGATTTTGTACTTGTCAAAGTGTACTTCCAACCAGATTATCTTCTGATTTTATACATGTCAAAGTGTACTTCCAACCAGATGTTCTTCTGATTTTGTACTTGTCAAAGTGTACTTCCAAACAGATTTTCTTCTGATTTTGCACTTGTCAAAGTGTACTTCCAACCAGATTTTCTTCTGATTTTGTACTTGTCAAAGTGTACTTCCAACCAGATTTTCTTCTGATTTTGTACTTGTCAAAGTGTACTTCCAACCAGATTATCTTCTGATTTTATACATGTCAAAGTGTACTTCCAACCAGATGTTCTTCTGATTTTGTATTTGTCAAAGTGTACTTCCAAACAGATTTTCTTCTGATTTTGCACTTGTCAAAGTGTACTTCCAACCAGATTTTCTTCTGATTTTGTACATGTCAAAGTGTACTTCCATCTAGTAGTGTATTTTGTCAAGATTTAGTGTTAGTCGAAGTGTACTACAATTATTAAGCTACATTTTGTAATTAAATGCTACTAAGGGTATTTTCTAATGACACCAGACTAGTGTACTATGTTTATTGACTAGTATGCAATTTCTAGCAGTTTTGTACTAGTCAAAATGTACTTCTAACCGATGCTGTGTATTTTATTCTGATGCTTTTGTTTTGTCTGAGGGTAATTTCGACCGGCCGAAGGCCGGTCGAAATGTACTACCCCTGCCCGAGGTGTACCACTAACCAGGTTCGTAGGTAGGTAAGATTTTCCAGGGTTGCTCATATATGTCCCTGTCAGATCGTGTGATGATTCTTGTCAAGGTAACCTTGTTGTGATGAATAATATTAATTGTACATGCATTCATACGTGATCTATTTAGGACATAAATTTAAGCATGATATGTTTTAGCAAACATGACAGAAGATAAGTACTGATAAGGGAATACAATTTAGTACGAAGTACATACGTTCTGGGATGAGTATGTCGTCATGATCACATGAAGTCAGAGCTACTTCGAAGTTAGGAGTTGTAAGGTTTTTATCAGTCTTTAAACATGTAGGTATCAAACTCCGATGTATATAGAAAAGGTTTTGTTGGTTTTGGCGGACTTGTGCGGGTTTTGGGACGAGCTGAAATTTCACTTTTTTAATAACAACTGCTACAATCAAGTTACCCTAGATAAAGCACAATTTTGTTCTATTTCTTTAATTTTCTTCATTAAGGATCCACATATTTTATTGGGTGGTGAAAAAATGTATTTTTCCCACTGTCGTCCATTTGGAGTTTACTAGGTTCCGTGCTAAAACTACGAATATTTACAAAATGCGTAATGAACCTAAGATACATAAATGCATATATTTATTTACACCGATTTGTGCATATGGCATCACAGAGCGATGCACAACGTCACTTAATCACGGTTCGTGTGTATGTACATATGCACCTGTCCAAAGTACAGATGAGTTTTTTGTGCATAAGCAGATGAAGAGCGACTTGTTTAGTTGGTGGTGATAATAAAGAGTGGCCGTGAGGATTTTTGTGGGTTAGAGATGCAAAGCAAACAAATTTTTTGTCCGGGTCCTGGGTTGTTGCACTGACTTGCAGTAATATTGAAAGTGGGGGCCGTGCAGGCTGGATGGGGAACTGTATTCTACCATTTTTTATAATGAATTGCATTAATTGAGACAGTTGGAGGATATTAAAGAGAAACTAGATATTCTAAATTTGTTATGAACTGCCTCTCGTACAAGGTTTTAGCTTAATCTGGACTGGAACGGCCTTCAGTTTGGTTTTGATCATCGGTCTCTCGTCGTCACCTGTTAATTGTTTTATTTGTGAAAATGTTGGAGTTAATTGCCGGTTTAGTATTAGGCTTTTGGACGATCTGCCTGGGAATCTTGCTCTGGGCGGATTGTGACATTTGGACCTTTATGCATCTCAAGTTTGGGAACGATATTGGTTTGTTTAATTACACTTCTAGTAATTAGTTTCATGAATGCTTGGATCTTTAATTTGTGGTAATTATTACTATTTCAGCGAGTCGTTTTGAAGGAAAGGTCGTCTGGGTGACGGGAGCTTCATCGGGAATCGGGGAAGGTAAATATGTAAATTCATAAAATATCCACGCCGGTATTGCGCTGGTCATAGCTGTCTACCACGTTGGTAATAAGCTTACTTCGGAGTGAGTGGTAATGTCTCATTACCACAACATTGCTAAACGCTAATTCCTCTATATAAGTTTCTTTCCACCAAACTCATATATTTATATAAATACTTCGACCAGTAATAATTTAATACCAGAGGTTTAAGAGGGTACACATGTATTTATGCATGAATACAACTTAAAGATAAAACTCGACTAATCAGAACCGATCACATTTGCTTGTCTGAAATGCAAATCTTGTCTTAATTCAGGACTGGTGAAGGAGTTGGTGAAAGTGAAAAATGTAAAAATTGTGCTCTCTGCGAGAAGGAAGGAGGAACTGGAACGAGTGAGGAAAGAGTGTTTGGGTAAGTTACATATGTATGTATGCATTTAAAATTGAGAGGAAGGGCGGCAACAATGTGGTGTGTACTTATGTATGTATTTAGATAAGCCTCTGAGCTTAAACTCTGTTTCACGTTACTTTTACGTTAATAACATGGAGAACATTAGCCGAACGAGCCGAATTATTTTATTATTTGACACCGGTTATTTTTATTTTGTCGTTTAAATTATTCAATTTCGTATTATTTTTACGCCAAAATAAAAATCATTGGTGTCAAATAGTAAATTAATTCGGCTCATTCGGCTAATGTTCTCAAGGCGGGTAAATCAAGTAACGTGAAACGCATTGTAGGTTTAGTTTGTCGGGTTAAGCTTTGGAAGGAACAAAAATACAATAGGGATGATTTATCCACGTTATTCATGTGTTACAGGAATTAATAAATCGGCGAGGCCCGATTCCGTTCTCGTCTTACCGTTCGACATGGTGGATTATGACAGCCACACGCCAGCCTTAGAAAAAGTGATAAAAACATTTGGCAAGGTGGGTGGTCCGTTTTAAGTATATACATTATTCGTGAAGTTTTTTGATAAATTCGGTCAGAAATGAAATTCGATTTAAGGGTTATAAGGGTGGTTTAAATGTCAGGTTACAATGGCAAATTTTTCAATGGGAAAAATTCGCAAATCTCCATTAGTCACCGAAATTTTGCCTCTCAAATTCAATATTTTAAAAATTTTGTCACCAGTGTTCCACAAGTTTTAATAAAAATTAATAAAAATCTCAATCCCAAATCCGATACTAATGGCAATTTTTCCCATTGAAAAATTTTCCATTGTAACCTGACATTTAAACCACCCTGTACATACATAGAAAAAAATATTGGTTAAAGTACGTACCATTAATAACGCTGCCATTATGAAATTCAAATGAAGTCCGAATTCTACAAGTATATTAAGTAAGCGATACGAAATCTGGGGTAACTTTACCCAAATAAAAAGTAAAGGTTACTGGATTTCATGTGAATGTGGCTTGTTTAATATCGAGTTTAGAGTGCATTTACTTGTTACAATTTTTAATAGCGCAATTATTTGAGTGTCAATAAAAATAAATTCTTTTTATGTTCAACATTTTTTTTAAATTTTCAGCTCAACGTCCTAATTTCCAATGCGGCAGCGATGGGCCAATACGCGTTTTGGGAGGAGGCCCCAATTTCCTCGGATAAGGCTCTGTTCGATTTGAATGTGTTCTCGCTCGTTAATTTGAACCGGATTGTGCTCAATTATTTCAAAAATGAGCGGGGACGTCAGGGACATTTGGCGGTGGTTTCAAGTTTAGCGGGAAAGTTTGGAGTTCCTTATCTCACGCCGTACACGCCGACGAAATATGCGCTAAATGTGAGAAATATGGAAGGATTTAGCTCAGCAGGAATTAATTTCAAACTTGTATTTTTGTTTTACAGGGTTATTTTGAGAGTTTGAGAAACGAATTGCGAAAAATGGAGAGGATTCATGTCACCCTGCTCTGCCCGGGGCCGGTGGTGTCGAATATTGGCGATAATGCAATGACTGGAACTGGAGAGGTAGGATATTTATGTACAAGGATTCTCACATTTCGAAATGTGTAAAGTTTTTGAAAATTATACTTCCAACAATGTGACGCAGCTCGCTCGTAATGGTTGTTCAACGTAAATCTTGATTTTTCGAGAATTTTTCACATCGTGACAACAAAATGAAAGCGTTGCCTATTTCTTGCAGTTTATTTCGTCTTGTGTTGCTTGCTTTGCATGCAAGAATGTAACAATCGCACAAAATGAAGTAAATATTGTAGAAGCATTATAAACTTTCCGGACGACTTTTCCTTCTCACAAATTTTTGGTTTTGAAATTTTGAAAATCAAAATATCCAACAAGAATTATGAATTTAGAACTCAAACTCGAATTTAAAAATTTAACTGGACAATGTAACTTTTCTGACTAATCCTTGGGTAAACACAAAGAAATAGCCATAAAATTTTGGGAATTTTATTGGCCAAATAATGAAGTTTGTCCAAACTCGTTTAGAAAGTTTCACCAAATTCTTATATAATCTGAATTAAATTTTTGGTTGCAGAAATTCAAAAATAGCAAATTTTCCATAAAACCGTCCAACATTATGACGGCTGCGCGATGTGGAGAAATCTGCCTGGCAGCGATTGCCAATAAATTGGAGGAATCCTGGATGGCACCACTTCCAAATTTGCCATTCCTCTATTTGGCCACGTATCAGCCTTTCCTATTTGCAAAGTAAGTACTTCATTATGTGCTCCCTTCGTATGTATTTTTGTGAAAGTGAATAAATTCTACCATTTTAATAATTTTGGACTTTTTAGAATCTCCGCAATTCTGATGAAGTATTTGGTGGTTGAAGAAAAATAATGGAAGATTGTACCAATTATTTTATTATGTATATATGTATCTAATAACACTTATCAAATTGCAACGAACAGTGTATATGTAAGGCAATAAATCGCAATTATAAAATCAATCTATTTCACCATGACAAGACTAAATTTGGATGGTAAATTCGAATTAAAAAATGGTGAGACATAAGCTTAAAGTTAATTATGACGAGGTCGAACCACACCCCACTGACACTAAACATACACCGTTTTCTGTATTCATGTCATACAAAAAAACACGTTACTTTTATTAACTTGTATGTGTAATATGCACTCAAAATAAAAATTTGTCGAGTCAACACCGCCGGTGTCAATATGTGACTTAACCGCCTTGGTTACAATATTGAATCCGAGTTTGGATGATTTTGATACCGGTTATAATGTTATGACCGGACGGAAAAAATTAATTACTACTCGGAATCACAATTGTAACCAAGGCGGTTAAGTCATATATTGACACCGTGTTGTTTTGAGTGTGTATGTAACTTCCAGAATTTTGGAAAAAATCAGTGATGGGCTTATTTGAGCGATGGAAAGTTTTAAGAGTATGAGGGCACAATTTGGTGACAATTAAAAATTGCATAATAAGCATAGCCTCCTTCAATTTTTAAAAGGGTACACAAATACAATTCATACACTCCAAATAAAGTTTAGTAAAATTTGCGATGACACAACGGGTTGTGCAAAATTTACCCGACGAAGGTAAATTTTACTCAAGGTTGAGCTAAAATTCCACAACGTTGGATAAATTCTAACTTTCGTAGTGTAAATTTTACTCAACCAGTTGTGTCATCGTAAATTCTACTCAACCTTGAGTAAATTTTAATCAAATTTATTTAGAGTGTATTATCCCGTTCTCCTTGCAGAACTGATCAGAATTAGCGATAATGTTTGGTTTAGGCAGAAATTTTGAATTACCAACGGCGTCCCGCCATCAATGAAGTTTGATCCGAATTTTATCTTGAGGGCGGTACAAGCCTTGACCTCTTTCATTAGAACGGATCGCCTCGCGCCATATCCTTGCTGTACAATAGCATCCACCTGCTTCCTCAAGATCTTAGTAGACACATTATTCACCCAGGAGGCTAGCGTGAACACTAGTATGTTCGTCATCACACTGTTCAACCAAACGAGCGGGAACATCAGAAACGACGGCATCGGGATATCTGCATGCATCATGATGGACACGAACTGTGTAAGCACTTGTGCCGCAGGCATGAGTAGCATCAGTGTGGGCACGATACCAACCATGAGGTAACCGTTGAACAGTTTTTCCAGAATTTGAATACTTCGGTACACCTGAGTACATTTTTTCAAATCGGTGGCCCCTTCAGCTAGTCCAATGTCTCTGATAAAACAGGAATTTTTTTTTAATTCGACACCTATATTGATGCATCCTTACTTTAAAGTATAAATTTTATAGCCAGAGCTTACCGTCCCAATACTTCGAAATAGTTCAGCAAACAAGCAATTCCGACAAAAAGTGCGTGAACAATTTCCAACGTACCGCCAATATAGACGTGTATGTTCATCCAGGTCTCGAAAAGAAAAATGAAGTGCTGGAAGCCAATTCGTGTCCATTTAATAGAAGCGCAATCCTCCCTCATCGAGAGTAGGAATGGAGGGGAGCAAGGGTCCAGCAAAATTAGTCCAATCATCGCAATCACCATAATATACACGGTGTAGTAGGTGATATGAACGAACAGTTTGATAAGTTTCGTTTCCATGCTTGTTTTCTGAGTAGGCTTTCCTAAATGATCAGCAAAAAATACAGTTATTTAAAATAACTACTTTTATCCAGTAGAACTTAATAATAAAGAGTAATGGATACATAGCAATGTACAGGAAATGTATGTGGGAACCTTGTGCATAAATCGATAAACAATAAAATTAGAAATTAAGGGAGTAAATGTTAAAACGACTTTCTTTTTCACGTACTTATTTGTTTTTCATTGTCATACGAGGGCATCAACAGTCGTGTTACATTTGCATACATACATACATCAGTTAAGCGGGGATATCACCGGTTTTAATAAATCAAAAAAGACAATTTAAAATAGGTGAGGAAACACATTACTTTTTGTCAGATCTTCTATTTTTGGGGAATATTTAAAGTACCTTCGACCAACTTCTTCTCAAATTCCATTGCTGAATTGATTGTCTGAACCATTGCTACGTCCAACTTGTAGTTCCACCGTCCTGAAAGTAGCATGACGTACATCGAGAAGAAGAGGAAACCCTGAAACTTTTTTGCCATTGTTAGCCTCCCGAAGCATATATTGGCCAACATGACAATGCAGGAACCCAGCAAGAGTACAATTTGCAGACGAAACATGCGGATCCGATTGGGATCCTTGGTAATGACAAGCTTCCCATACTTTTTGTTAAATTCGTATGGGGTTGAGTAAAGTTTCCGACATATTTTGAGATGACGTAGGAGCAGAGGAAAGAATTGCGTCGTGTACATTTTCCTCAGGTGTTAAGCCTGGAACTGAAATGGGATCGGTGGGTTGGATCGAAACTAAGGCAATAACAGAATTTCCTAGGAATTGGTACTCAAGGTGATATTTACATAATTAATCTACATAACTTATATATTTAGCAAATATCGACGGCTTTAGTATTTTATAATTATTATCACGAGTAAAGCAATGTGTTCGGAGACCTTCAACAGTGTGACAGTCTACAAACTGGTAACCTGTATCTATCAGGTAGCACATCTAATACTCTATTTAATAACTTGGTTAGATATCTGACGTGTTTTTAATCAAGCTGGTGACAATGGATCACAAACTTAGTAAGTATGAAATTTGCAAGAAATTTGGAAATTTGAAAATCCTCAAACGCCCAAATTTATCATAGGTATTTGCATCCCAAAGGGAGAAATTGAGGGATGCCTACATATGGCAAGTGGATAATCTAACCAATTTATTACGCGTGCTCCTATTCCGATTCAAAGATTCCTGACACCCCTAAAATTTGTGTACTCAAATTTTTGACCGATTGACATTATTTTGGTCCAAACCTGGGAGAATTCACTCGGAGATGTCTATTGTAAGTGAGAATCTATATTATAATTTCGAAAAGTCCATCCCGTGAAATTTTCCGTGACATTCCTGCATTCTGATTGGCTGTTGACATTTCTGCTCCTCCAATCAGGGAGCAGATACGAATTATGATTATGATTATAGTTATGATTATGATTATGATTATGGTTATGATTATAATTATGATTATAATTATGATTATGATTATGATTATGATTATAATTATAATTATGATTATAATTATAATTATGATTACCGTAATGATTATGATTATGATAAAAAATTTAATTAGCAACATAAATAAATTTCTTTAGCAACATAAAAAAATTTCCATAGCAACATAAAAAAATTTCCTAGCAACGTAAAAAAAATTCCTTAGCAACATAAAATATTTCCTTAGCAACATAAAAAAATTTCCTTAGCAACGTAACAAAATTTCCTTAGCAACATAAAATATTTCCTTAGCAACATAAAAAAATTTCCTTAGCAACATAAAAAAATTTGCTTGGCAACGTAAAAAAATTTCCTAAGCAACGTAAAAAAAATTCCTTGGCAACATTAAAAAATTTCGTTAGCAACGTAAAAAGATTTCCATAGCAACGTAAAAAAATTTCCTTAGCAACATAAAAAAATTTGCTTGGCACCGTAAAACAATTTCCTTAGCAACATAAAAAAATTTCCTTAGCAACGTAAAAAAATTTCCTTAGCAACATAAAAAAATTTCGTTAGCAACATAAAGAAATTCCCTTAGGGACATAAAAAATTGCCATAGCAACATAAAAAAATTTGCCTAGTAAGATAAAAAATTTCCTTAGGAACATAAAAAAATAATCCTTAGCAACGTTGTTTACATAAGTTAGTTTGTGGTGCCAAGGAATTTCGATTATTCGTGTAAAACTTGAAATGTGGCCCGTCTTTAAGACGGGCTTATAGGCTAGTATTGTATATATCATTCCTTGCCAAAATCTGTTATCTGAAATAATAAGGTTAATCTATTTTGTTCGCTACGTCAGGCATGGTCCATGTCATAGTGGCTTCACTAGCCAGGATACCAGGTACAAAATACGTCCCGTCGGCATACCTATACTTCACAACGAGAACCTTAATATATGTCAGCGTTTATGGAGAAATTGTTCGTAACGGGCACGGGTAGTTTCTTTATCTCTTTTAAGATTGTTTTACTTAATTAATTAATTTCCATCTTTCGAAGTGCTTATGTACTTAAGCAATATGTATCGATCTCAATTTTCGAGGTCGTTTATAAATCGACAATAACTACGATGTAAAATTGCAAAATAAATAAGTACACATACTTTGCAAATGCGTATCAAACGAGTATATATTGCTAACTACTTGGGTATGCATATGCACTCTAAAAAACGTGGTCGACTCAGATATATTATTTATGCTCCGAACTGGTATTGCACTGGTAAATGATTTTTATGAAATTGGAGAAATGCCAATGATTTTTTGATACAAACTACATCCTTAAACAGGACGTTAATTTTAATTAACAGATGTTTTAATTATTGCTCATAAATTTTTACTGACACAATTAAAACGTATTTAAGATTATAATTATGTACATAAATATAATTATTGACAACGAAACCCCATTTTTTGGAATACAATTAAAACCTTCATTTCTTTATTGATTAAGTAAATTCTCTCTTAGCTCTAAATTAAGTAAACTACATATATAGTTTACTCAATTAGTATATACTAAATCCTAGAGCAGCGTCAATTTCATAAAGAATAAAGTTTGCTCTAAATTCTGTATAGTTAACTTAATTTAGAGTTCAGAGGGAAGTTACTTTTCAAAAGGTGACATTATTTTTAAGAGTGATTGAATGTACACATATTATGTACAAGGTACATACACTATAATCCTAAATTGCAATTACATATTTACATATAACTAAAATATTTTTCATCAACACATATATGCTGATGAATGTATATGGTAGATAAAGTTATTTATGTAGGTAGGTACACATTATTACAAACGATACTTAGGGAAATTTTTCGCGTGGTGTTACACAATATATAATCTTTGTATACATACATGCAAAATACGGAATATTTTCATCTTAATCAACTTCCATGCTTTTGCCTTGATAAACATGCAGCGATCTAAAATTGAAACTCAATATAAGTAAGTTAGCCGATTAACAATTAAGTCGAACCGATCACTTAAAAAAACGACGAACACAAACACCATTAAGGTAAGGAATCAAGTTTATATTTCATAGAAAATTATGTGACACGTCAATGCGTAATAAATAAGGGAAAGATAATACTGCTGTCTGAAATAATCCCATTCTTACAATTAATGAGACATGCAGTCAACAATACACGATAATTTGCAGAAATATACATTTACATATTTGAAAATGTTTGAAATTAATTCATGAAAAATAATAATAATAAATAGAAAATGTGTCTTAAGAACATATTAACCGAACCAAGAAGTCGGTCATTATTACTTTGTTTTTAATATGTAATATTTTCTAGTGGTGAAAGTCAACAGGGCAAAATCCAATCTCAACTCTGCTCATCATAAATACCTATTACAAAATCAAGGTGTAATAGAGAAAACTTTTCAAAACGTAATCAGATGTACATATGTAGGTATGGTATTATTTAAAAAGTTGAATCAGAAAAACGGGTTTAATAAAAGCATTGATATTCATATTTATTTAGTAATTGACGAATATGGTAAGATGAAAGAATAGCCTTACCGAGGCTCTGATTGTGTGGATAAATTTTTAGAATCAATGAAAAAACTAATGGATGAGATCATGACGACAATGAGAGTGCCACTAACAAATCCCTGGCTTTATGATTGTGTGCATAAAGATTATGTATCTAATGGTAATAGTCTTTTGGCAGATTATAAAGACTTCCAAAATTTGAATTTTTGTAAATTTGAACCGAGTTATTTTTTTATAGCAATACCTTTGCCATTACCAAGGCCACCATCAGCTCTGAGTATATTAGATTAGGATACTTCGATCCGTCTTCCAGCTCGAAAATTGGAAGGAATACGCAAAATTGGATATCCGGACCAGGCTTTTTAATTTCGTCGAGGTGCGGACCAATTTCGCAAATTTTTGTGCTCACTTTATCGCCATTGGTAGTTTTGAATTCAACCCTGCACAACAAAACCCAGACACAGAGTTTGAGTTCCTAGGAGTACACAATTAACAGATTTTTGTACGTGAACTAGTTAACCTTCAAGTTTTCAAGCCAGAATAAATTCTTTTGTTCAATGCACGGGTTGTTCTAGCTACGTCCTTCTATTACAGTACAAATTTGCTTTAATACTTTCTCAAGTTTTGTCTCAATGAAATAGAGATGTTCCTTTTTAACTTATGTACTTCATATTTTTATCCTCGTTCATTTTCTCAAGCTAACCCTAAGTACATAAGTTCCAATTGTGCTTTATGAATTTCACAGTACACATTATTATTTTCTGTTTATACATAGCTTCCAACCAGTCGCAACGAATTGATCCACTGTTTCATACTAAATATATATATTACCGATTGTATTTTCTTGAGCTAGATGCCGAGCGTTATTAGATATTGCTAAATTTATGTGACATGATTTAATAATCCTTATCACCAAAAAGGGTAAGATGATGCAGAATCTGCAACTTTGTAGAAAAAGTCGTTTCATTTATTACCCTGTTTGCTGATCT